TCCTGCTGATTTGGGAGCCAATAGCTGTTCTGTTATATTCACCTGTAGCCAAAGGTTTCTAACCAGATAGTGATAACAACAGGCACTTGTTCTCACTTCCTCTTCATCCCAGAAGAACTCTAGTTACTCCACAGACAGCTTTCTAATTAGGAACTGTTATTAATACCAACCAAAACCATCAGTTAGGCAGAAGAAATTATTTGAGAAAGGCAAAGAAGTCTGTAAGACAAACTTATGCTTTAACAATGCTTATAAATACTGATTTTGTCTGACCTGCCTCTGCTATCTGTGTGTCAGATGGTTTGGGTAGAAATGTGTCTTCATTTTTGCTTTCCCCAGTGACCTTCCCACTGTCCCAGAACCTGTAAGGATTGTTTCCCAATTCCTCCTTGATTTGCCTGCTTGTAATTTTCCAGTCTTTCCACTCACTCCTCTTTTTTTTTTTTTTTTTTTTGCCCCCAAAAGACATCTCCTCTTTTACACAATCGTGCAGTTGAGCGGCAGCACAGGTTGTACCCTGCAGGCTGTTAGACGCTCTAGGTTTTACAGGAGGGAGAGCAGGGGAGTCTTTCTAATAAAGAAGGATTTGGCTGAGAAGCCTTGGTTATAAAATCATGTACAATTCCTTCTTGAAAGGAGAGTGCAAACCGGACTAAAGCGTTATCTCCTCTGCTTTGTAAAGGTTTGTCCTTGATAGATTGTGTGCTAAAAGCTGCTCTTGCACAGCCTGCACAGGCAGACAACGGCAGGAGAGGGGGACCCAAATTTCCCCCTGCCCTGGCTCTTCCCAGCCCTGTCCCAAAAGCCATCAGCCCATCCCCAGGCACATGGAGAAGCTCAGAGGCACAAGGGCAGGTGGAGGCTCCCCAGTGCCCCACTCAGGGACACGAGCCCCCAGTTGGCCCTCCCAGGGCTGCCCCAGGGGACCCTCCTCTTTACAGACCAGGGGGGACACCAGGGGGGACACGGGAGCGCCTTACAGTCTGAACTGCCTTGGGATATGGGACACCTCACACAGGGATGGTGGATGGGATGGGATGCAGGGAAAAGAATTTGGGGATTGCACAAAACTTATTATGGGATATCTGGTAAGGGGACCAAAGGCAGGGAAACAATAGATCTGGGTGATTTGGGAAGGAACAAATGTTTTAAAATAGAGGGGGATAAAGGGGGATTAAGGACCAGTTGTATGTAAACAGGGTCTGGTCAGTACATCTGCATGCATGTGTGTGTCTAGAGGTGAGGCACCTGCGTAGAGACAGGATTCCTGACCAGCTACTGGATGACAGAATCACAGAATGGTCAGGGTTGGAAGGGACCTCTGGAGATCATCTAGTCCAACCCCCCTGCCCAAGCAGGGTCGCCTACAGCAGTTGCATGGGATGGCCTCCAGGCGGGTTTTGAATGTCCCCAGAGTGGGAGACTCCACCACCTCTCTGGGCAGCCTGTGCCAGCGCTCTGCCACCCTCAAAGTAAAGAAGTTCCTCCTCATGTTTAGATGGAACTTCTTATGTTCAAGTTTGTGCCCGTTACCTCTTGACTTATCACTGGGCACCACTGAAATAAGACTGTTCCCATCCCCCTGGCACCCTCCCTTTAAGTATTTATAAGCATTGATGATCCCCACCCACCTCAGTCTTCTCTTCTCCGGACTAAAAAGACCCAATGTCCACAGCCATCTGCTGGGGATCCATACGGTGAGTGAGTGAGTGAGTGGTCTGTACCAGCAAGTGCAGTGGGGATGCATCCTCTGGGGGCCTGTACACCCACATGCCAGCAACTGGGGAGTCTGGTAGGACTGGGGAGCTAGCTGCTGGATACATTACTATAACCATAAAAATGGTGCTATGATCTAACAAACAAGTATTTACAAACACAGGAAAATAAAAATGAAATTTATAATCCAAACCGTAAAATATATAGAGACATGGGAAAAGCATTATATCACTTTCTCTATATTTTGGGGGAAGTTTTGTTATTTTATTACCTCTTTTGGGTAGGCTTCAGCAATTGTTCCCAGCGTAGGAAGTATGTTCCCGAGGCCCAGACATGTGCCAGCTTTACCACAGAAATTAGCCCTCCTCTTTGACATCCAGACCACCAGCTCTGTTCCTACGTAATCAGTGCCCTCATACACTGGCGAGGACAATTAGTAACGTAACTATTCAGCTCTTTTGGCCAATGCTTTCCTGCAGCTTTGGGGTGTTTGAGGTATTGTTGACTCGTGGCACCAGGTGAAGTATTGCCTGCTTTTGAATTACCTCAGTCTTGGTTTAAAAACAAGAGTAGCAAAAAGCAAATGGAGTATAAGTACATTTTTCTTTGCTTTCTTCTAGTACCATTCTCAAGGATTCCTTGAAGAGCTCCCTGCTGCAGCTAGAATGTCATTTTACATGGGGTTTGCTGAAGCAGGATGTGGATCTCGATGACCTAGAAGAAACAATAGGTTATCAGATCGAGGTTTTCATAGAATCCAACATCGCAAATTATAATCTACTATCTTATGTATGCCACCTAAGGGGTTCAAATGAAGAAGCCCTGACAAATCTCCAAAAAGCTGAAGAAGAAGTTCAAAAATATCATCCTACTGAAACCGACCGGAGAACTCTTGTTACCTGGGGGAACTATGCCTGGACCTATTACCACATGAAGAGATATGAAGAAGCTCAAACTTATGTAAACAAAGTGGAAAACACCTACAAAAAGCTTTCAAGTACTGCTCAGTGGAAGATTCAGCTTCCAGAGATCTACGCTGAGCAAGGATGGGCATTATTAAAGTTTGGGGCAAAATACTACAAGAAAGCAAAGGATTGCTTTGAAATTGCTCTGAAGAATGACCCTGATAACCCAAGATTTAACGCCGGCTATGCAATAGCGATGTATCGTTTGGAAGATTTTTCTCACAGACAATGCGAAGATATAAACCCGTCCCTCGAGCCCCTGAAGCGTGCAGTAGAACTGAATCCAAAGGATACTTTCATTATGGCATTACTTGCATTAAAACTTCAGGACTTAAAGCGAGCTGATGAAGGGAAGAAGTACATTGAAAAAGCAATACAGATAACCCCTGATCTTCCCTATGTCCAGCGGTACGCTGCTAAATTTTACAGAAGGAAAGGAGAAGTGGACAAAGCACTGGAGATTTTGAAAAAGGCCCTAGCAGTGACACCAAAATCTGTCTTTTTGCATCACCAACTAGGAGTCTGCTACAGGTCAAAGCTGTTTCAACTGAAAGACACCACAAGATACCCACCTCAAGATCAAGTGGAAGAACTCATCAGACTTGCCATTTTTCATCTTAAAATAGCAACTGACCAGAAGACAAAATTTTTTTCTGCCCATATGGACCTAGCAAACATGTATGCACAAGGAAAGAGGTATAAAGAAGCAGAAGAAACATTTCAGAAAGCGCTTCAGATAAACATTCTATTCTATGATGATAAACAAGAATTCTACCACCATTACGGCAATTTTCAGCGTTTTCATATGAAATCGGAATCTGAAGCCATTAGGTATTACCTAGAAGGGCTGAAAATTGAAAAAGAGTCTTATGGAAGAAATAAGTGCAGAAATGCTCTGAAGAAATTGTTGGAACAGAGAATTCAGAGAGGTTTAGGAGGTGCAACAGATTTTGGTACACTTGGACTCGTTCATAATCTAAATGATGAGAAAGATAAAGCAATTGAGTGCTATGAGAAAGCCATTGCACTGTGTCCCAACAATGAAGAATATCTGACTGCATTATGTGAGTTACGACTTTCCATCTGAAGCTAAAGCTCCCAAAAATCCTTCACGCCAAAAAAACCCCAAACCCAAGGACATTTCAACGGACTCTCTTTTTTTTTTTTTTTTGTAAGGTTGAAGTTATAAGCAGATAAAAGATCTGGTGGCATCACTTTCTGGTGATGGTGCAGAAACTGCAGATGATGATTGCTCATTTGTTCTTTCACCAACAGAGAGCATGCTTGGGAAAACTAAACAATAGTTAAGCTATCTTGGTATTCAATGCTAATGCTGGTATAAAAGTTGTGTTTAAGTGACACGGAGCTTCTAGTTTCAGATTTAAATCAGACCTTACCTTTTACTGAGAAAAAGATAAGGGAGTCATGTTATAGTATTTCATTTATCCTCTTGAAAGGCATGCTTATACACAAATGGATTTTCTGATGCTTTTTAAAATGTTTAAAAAGATGTATTTTTTAGTGTTATTTAGAAGACACTTTTGTTGAAGACTTGTTCAGTTTACTACCTTGTATGTTGTTTAACTATGAAAAATAACTGCTGTTTGGCTAGTTCACTGGAAAGCTTGCAAAACCTGTGTTATTGTTGCGAACTATTAAAGAACATTGCGTCCATCAGCTGTTGCTTCTGGTATCTCTCTGCTGAACAATCCTCACCTTAGTAGTTGAAAGAAAGGGAAATGGCCATTTGAAAAAGTATCAGGGATAAAGTTTTGGCAGGATATGAAACTTTTAGGGTTAGCCCCACTTATTTTCTCGAACTCTCAGCAAAGCTGGTTTCAGAGGTGCTGAAGCAAAGAATTAAACTGAGTACAAAACAACATCGGTCTAGTTTACCCAAAACTGCACTCTCAGGAACCAATACAACAAACACCTGGAGAGGAAGGAAAGGTAATCTTTGAGACGTGAAAGCAATGGCTATCTGCGGCCATGCTTGTGAAACAAGCCAGGGATAGAAAACACCCACAAGAAAGGTACTGAACTGGACACAGAGGGCAGAACGCTGCCAGAGCGGAGAGTTGCATGAGCTCTGGAGAACAGGGCAGCAGAAAGCAAGGGGCATGTGGGAAAAGGAGCGGGTGCCGGCAGGGGCTACGTGAATGGAAGAAAGGGCTGAAAGGACAGAGAGAATGGGTGGAGGAGGTGATTTTCTTCAGATATCCAGCTAAGAGTCAGTATTCTTTACAACAGGCTGGCCAAATTACATAGTATTGTACCTTGGTATAATAGATCATAGTGCTCAGGGAAAACTAACACCGTACTTCCAATACACTTCTGAGCTCTAGCCAGTAGCGTAGAATGAACCAAACTGGTGACAGAGCCCATCAGGAAGGATGTGCACTTCTGTTTCCAGCCATCCTGGACCATTCCTGCCCACGCAACAGCAGCCCCATGTACAGACAGGATGACAGGCCTGAAAGAGCGTAACCTACAATGCCAGATCATGAAACATCAAGAAACCTCTCCTCTCTCAGCTCTCTCTCAAAGAATCTTTCATAATACAAGCAAAAGGATCGGGAGGTTAACAGTATACATAATACAACTGCACATTCTTCCTAAGAAAAGGCTGGGGCAAGATCCATTCTTGTTTTCCAGCCACCTGCCAGCTTTTCTCTTACAAACAAAGGTGGCCCTGCCTGGGGCAAGAGTGCGGAGAGGAAGGACAGGGAGGAGGACTGACACACCACTCCTGAAAGCCGGTAGGAATAACAGTAGGGTTGAAGTCAGGAAGCTGTGATGGCACAACCGTGGTGCCCTCCGCACCCTGCCACCAGAGCCTCTCCCGCCTCTCTCTTGGAAGATGAACCCTGCAGAAATAAGGAGCAGCAGTAAAGTATTTTGAGAAAAGTGTGAGCCTGAACTTTTAAGAAGAGTCAGAGTCGCTCAGTCTTCACCACAGCAAAGAAATTCACTGTGAGGCATAGAGATGCAAGAAATCTACTTCATCGAATGGGTTAGGTTAGAAGGGACCTTGAAGATCATTGAGTTCCTCCAACCCTCCTGCCATGGGCAGGGACATCTCCCACTAGACCAGGTTGCTCAAAGCCCCATCCAGCCTGGCCTTGAACACCTCCACGGATAAAGCTTCCACAGCTTCTCTGGGCAACCTGTTCCAGTGCCTCACCACCCTCACAGTGAAAAATGTCTTCCTAATATCTAATCTAAGTCTACCTTCTTCCAGTTTGAAGCTGTTCCCCCTCGTGTTGTGCTTTACCTTCTTTGGGCTCTGGAGGATTGCGCTGGACCGCAGTACTGCCCCAGGAACGGATGCTGTGTGCAAACACTGCCTTCCAGTTCTTGCCCAGTGTCTTGTAAATGGGGAAAATTGTTATTTCCCACAGGGTGGTGCTGCTGCATTGCCTGGTGTGGCGACATAGGAAAGAGGCTGAACTTAAGCTTTGGGAAGCAGATGAAACGAAACACACAGTTTTGCAGTCTCCAGGTCCAACGGGCAAAACCAGAACCACACAGAAGCTGAACACCTCTCATTCGCACCCAAGTATGAACACATCACTGGAGCCTACGCTCGTGGTGCAGGGAGAAAAGGAGTGAAGATAATCCTGCACGAAATATTTATGAATCAAAAACATCTTCTAAATTATATAGAAAACTACTGGAATACACCAGAATAGTCACTTTAGTAGAAGGTATTATATATTGAGGCAATCCCGACTAAGTACTTTGTTGCACTGACCATGAAGTACTGTGACAGCTTAACTTAAACAAGCTCTTCCTTCTCACATAAATTTGTAACACTTTAAAAAGCAAACAAGGAATTGTTGTGGCAATATAAAACATATTCATCATATAGTAGCACAGACAATCTCTGCTCTTCAGGAGATAAATTATCATCCAAGTTGGCAGAAATGTTTCTAAGTCTACCTTCTTCTTTTTTTTTTTTTCTTTTTTTTTTCCCCCCCTGAAAACAGGGTTATTTTTCAGCAGAAAGTACTTGAGTTCTCCAATGCTGTTTTCACACAATTTTTCAAGATACAATTTATTAAATGTTCTAAAACTGATCTGATAAAAACTCTCACTAGAATGCAAACAATTTCAAAAGAATAACAATTTCCTCATTTCAAACCTCAAGCAATGGGAAACAGATAGGATACCTTCAGCAGTTGTAAGCAATTTCACTTCCTGACAGTCAATTCCCATTCACTGCGCAGAATAGAGTGTTATCCCAGGCAGGATTCATCTGAGATAGGATCCCTCTGTTCCTGTCTCGGACAGATGTTACCCCAGCCAAGTCAGGCCAGGCTGTCCCGGGAAGCCAGACGCTCCATCCAAGCTTGTATCCGTCAGTGCTCAACAGGGCTGGTGGGAACATGCAGTGTTAGCCTGGCAAATTGTTCCCAGCTAGCCCAGGTATCTCGGCGTATCACTGCACTGTGCCATGCCAGGAAACATCGTCTACAGGGAACAGTCTGAATATTATAATCTCTGAAACAAACAAAGAAACAAAAAACAACCCCAAAACTTTGCAGATAGAACGTCATTTTTTAAAAATGGTATAATCCAGAGACTTCTATAATGTGCCCCCTGAAGCCTTTCACGTGGCAGGATGAAGATGAGCCGTGCAGTTTAGGTTGTATGGACCAGGAGGTAGAAGCTTAGCAAGAGGTTTTGCAAACCTTGGATTGTATTCACATTTCTTCCACTCGCAGGTCATTTCTTGTTATGCTTCCTTCCTTCTCTGTCTCTTAGTTAGGAGATTCGTGACAGGGCTGATATTTCACTGAGTGTTTTACACACAGAAAGCATCATTTTGGTATATAACTTTTGTCTATTGGCTTAATTCAGAGCAGAAACAGTGGTAGGAAACCCTGAAATAATTCTATCATTTCCTACAAAAGATGTCTATAAAACCAGTTGAATGTTTTCTGCTGAATTATACATTTAGAACAAGAAATACTGCCTTAATTATAAGTTAAACACAAAACAGAAAATCCCATGAAAAAATATCTTGAAATTAAAAAAACCTCCAAAAAATGCTAATAATGTGTTACATGGTATTATTTACTAGGATAAAAATGCATATAGTATTATTCCAACAGGCTTTTATAATGTGCAGTTATGGCATGAACGACTGCTGACATGTCATGATGTGGTAAAAAAAAGTAATTAAACTTTTGTAAAGTAAATGACAGCAGTAACTTACAACTTGTTGAAATAGCTTATCTTCTTTGTAGACCACACTATTCTCTACTTTTTGATATGAACTTTTGCATTAAGATCTAAAACAATATCTTCATCACTACTAATTAATAAAGCCACCTTTTTCTCCTCCCAAACGTGCACATTTTTTGTAATTCATAAAGAAATACTCATGGATAATTTTTGTCTTTTTTAATGAACATATGTTAAAATCAAAATTAGGGCTCAGGACTCAATTGCCATGTGGAGCTGAAAAAAGGTTATAGCATTAGTTTTAAGCAGTTTTTACACTCCCACCTCTTAGTCTGTGGTCTTTTCATATAAACCACGCTGCCAGCTCTGACCACACTTCTGAAGCAAGGCAGCGAGAAATGCTTTGTTTGAGCACAGACACTGGAAGTCAAACACTTTTAATATGTTATATTTGAAATACGCATGAATAATAGAACCACTTGATACACACACTATTCATATATATAAAAAAATACGTTGTACCCCTATGGCTGTAACCTTGATCTTAATAAAATTTGTGAACATCAGTCTATTTTGCTTTCCCTTCTGAGGCACAGAGTGGAATAGGACACCGTGAGCAGCCATTGAATACACCGCAGATGATTAACAAAACTACTAGTTCAGCATTTATAAAAATTATTTGGACTCCGATCAATTTGCTAATGAACAGAATGCATCTTTACACAGCATCAAAACACAGAAATGGTTTGCATTTCAGAATGTGAAGTTCCTCCATCAATGACTTCGGAAATGTAGAAACATCCCATTATTTTTTAGATCATCACATCAGTAATTTACCCCATGAGCTGCCTTCAGTCCATAGCTCTGGTTGAGCAGCCAGCTGTAGTATGGTCCTCA